TTTCCTGTTAATTTTTTAAAATTTATTATAATTATCTTTTTCCTGGTCCCTTATTTGGTTCCCCTACATGTCTCTTATAAGTGAAACCATCTGATATCTTTTTTCCTTCTGGCTTATTTCACTGAGCATAAATGCTTCCAGCTCCATCCATGTTGCTGCAAATTACATGAGTTTTTTCTTTTTTGGTTGCTGAATAATGTTTCATTGTGTATATGTACCACATCTTCTTGATCCAGTCATCTATTTTTGGGCATTTGGGTTGTTTTCATATCTTACCTAATGTAAACAGTGCTTACTTCTTTTTACCAAGTACAGCCCGTGATCTCTCTAGCTCTTTCTTCAAACAGTTTGTCACCGAACACCTCACCTCAGACATCTGCTGAGAAATGGCAGTATAATAGCCGTGGGGTATGGGTAGTTGGCCAGGGTCTCATTTTCCTTTGTCTGGACCATGTTTTCCCATGGTTTTCTTAGCCCTAAAGGTGACTAGAATCTGTGGTAAAGGGAACCACAGGTCTGAGGGCCCAGGAAGCTGAGAATTCCTTTCTAGTGTCCATAGTCTGGAGAGTCCCACTCCTGCACAACAAGGGAAACAGTGGTTAGAAGGAACTGGAAACAGACAACATTTGACCAATTTGACCATTCACAGGCACTGGTGGGTTGATGTGTATGATGTCATGAGCTCCTCTTCCTCAGGAAAAAATGTACAGTATGTGGACTAAGGCTACAGCCCAGGGACTTTGCAAAATTTTGGAAACAGTGAAACCAGATTAAAATTGGAAAAAGAAAAGGCTGTCATATACAGTGTTATAAGCCAATGTTACTTTAATTAAAAAATGTTGCAGAAAAGATACCTGGTATACTTTGATGAGACTGACAGTGAATATTCTCCTAGGGCCTTAGGAATGGGGTAGTAACTTAGAAAATAAATGAGACAGTGAAGTTCTGTACATTGATATTCATGCTAATTTCACAAAGAATACAATTTCTTCCAAAGATTCAGCCAAGCTTTAATGAAATGAGTACTGTGCCATTCTTACTTAAGTTTCTTATAGTTCCTTGAGCATATCACTTAACTTTAAGCTTTAATTTCCCAGTATGAGCATAGAGCTGACAAATTGCTTTGCTTGTTTGGGGAACAAGGTAGACTAGATTGAGATGAGAGAAAAAATTTCTTTGTCAATGAACAATTTTTCTCTTGTTTAATGCTGAATATATTTATCTTTTGCATTTACTTTTTAAAAAACAGTAATATTTTAAATATCAAAATGTCATTCCTCTAAATTAGGCAGGCAAGCAGTTAGAGACAAAATTTAAATGAAAAGATAGTCATTATTTTTAAATGAAGTTAGAAAATAAAGAAGAGGAAATTCCAGATCAGCTTCACCACCTGGAGACAATTTCATATTTTATAAATTTGGAATTCTGGCAAAGCCCTGGGATCAGAGCCACTCAGGAACCTGGTTTCTTTATTGTACCAAACACAAGGTGTGAGGCCAATATTATCCTGAGGCAGAATCCTGTATTTACATAAACTCTGCCTCCTGGATAGTGTTTTTAGGGAAAAGCACTCACCCAGCATCCATACCTCATAGAAATCTTAAAAGCTGAGCATTTTAAGCAGAGTTTTTGTTTTCTTGCTGTCAAAGGCTTTCTGTACAACTTGATTTTATGGGAAGCAACACCATCCCTGGTGGGTATATTCTAGAACATGCTAGCTCAGTGAATGCCATCAAAAACCCTACTCAGGGGCTCCCTGATGGCGCAAGGGGTTAAGCACAGCACTGTGAAGGTACCCACAGCCTCTGCAACATGAGTTCAGTCCCCACTGGCTAGGGAGCTACCCACATGGCACAACAGACATCTCCTGTCTTGCCTGCTGCTCCCCTCAGCAGTGTGTTTCAGTAAATCCACCTGTTCTTCTCCCCACTTTGTCTCTGGTGAATCCTCTCATCCCCTGCACTCTGGCCTATGCCCCAGTTCTTCTACAAAATAAATAAATATTGTGGCCTCCCAGGTGGCTCAGCGGGTTGAGTGCAGCGCTGTGAAGCTGTCTGCAGCCACTGCAGCATGGGTTCAATTCCCGGCCAGGGAGATTCCCACATGGCGTGGCTGACCTCTCTTGTTGCGCCCGCTGCTCCCCTCAGCAGATATTTTTTTAATCTGCCTGTTCTGCTCCCCACTCTGTCTCTGGTGAATCCTCTCACCTTCCCATGCCTCTGACCTGTACCCCAGCTCTCGTATAAAAATAAACAAATCTTTTAAAATAAATACTAAAAAAAAAAAAAAAAAAAAAAAAAAAAAGACCAGTTCATTCAAGATAGCTTGAAGAGGCTATCCTTAGAAATAGTCATGGTCTCTACTCCTGGAGTTTTTCCTAATATCTAGGCTGGACCCTGAACATCCTCATTCCTCTCTTTCTACTATTGCTACTACTACGGGGTGATTCTATGAGTGATTAGGATTGGGAATTGCTGACTTACCCTATAATCTTAATGTCAGTTACCAGAATCCCCTTCACAGAGAAAGAATAACAGACATTCTTGCAAAGCCATAAAAACCCATCATGTCTTCTCGGAAGGTCAAATTTTCGACCTTTGGAGAGGCTGTATGGCATGGTCATCAAGAGCATGGAAACTGAATTCAAAAAGACTGTTCCAACCCTAGGCTTGTTAGTCATTATTTTTGTATTTCAGCGCATAACTCATTGTGTCTGAGAGCAATAAAACATTGTATAAATATGGGAAAATCCAATGAGAGAAGTTATTGATGCATTCGGCAATCTTTTACTGTTATTATGGATGCTGCCGGCCACTAGTGATATATCTGTTGGCTACTGCACATTCAAACATAACAAATGATCCCCAAACTCAGTGACTTACAACAATAAGCATTGTTTTACACTGGGAGAGGTACAGGTCATCTGTGATTTGGCTGAGTCTGTCAGAATCTCATCTAGAAGGATTTGATTCAGTATGCAGATCTTCTTGAGTATGGTCTTAGGCTCTGGATTGGGATCAGACCTGTTCCATAAGCACTTGTCTGGGGCCCAAAATCCAGGGTCAGTGGATACCTGGGGCATGCTTTTCTCATGGTGAGTCACTTATGTGCAAAAGCCAAGTCAAACTCACAAGCACATATAAGACCCCTGCCTGCATTTCCTTTGCTAAATTCCTATTAGTCGAAGCCAGTCACACAATCAGGGTCACATCATTTTGGAGGGAACACGGACTTCATCAACATGAGATCAGGGGCAGGAATAGTGGAAATATGTGGAAAATTAATTCAAACTAGTAAAAACTATAACAGTGAATCTCATTTAAGTAAAATGATGCTCTTTAACATCTCTTGTAAGACTACGATTTGCTAAATATTTCATATTGATTTTTTTAAATGTAGAATGGCAAGCCACCTTCACTTTCACCTAATGAGCACTGCCTTTAAATTTTTCTGTTTTGAGAAACACATTCATGTTATTATACTTCTTTCACAGGTGACTCAGAATAATTTGTATAGTATTAGGGCAACTGATTTCTTCTGGAATTGCCTTAAAATTCTTACAAACTTTAGAGATAGAGGAAAATATGGCAGAGGTGTGTATACCCAGCAAAAGGGTCCTATCCCTGGAAGAATGTTGGCAGGGAATTGAGTAGAGAGGATGGTCAGTTTGAGTAGATTAAATTCAAACATTTATTTCAAATTAAAGTTATCCTAGGTTTATACCAGGTAGAATTTAAAAGTGAGCCCAGGGGTCTCCCTGGTAGCACAAGAGGTTAAGACGCAACCTATGAAGCTATCTGCAGCCACTGCAGCACGAGTTCGATCCCCGGCCAGGGAGAATCCCACATGGTTCAGCAGACCTCCCCTGACTCACCCACTGCTCTCCTCAGCAGTGTATTTCAGTCGATCTGACTGTTCTGTTCCACACTCTGTCTCTGGTGAATCCTCTCAAACCGCCCCCCCACCCCGGCACCTCTGGCCTGTACCCCAGTTCTTGTATGCATAAATAAATAAATCTTAAAAAAAAAAGAAAAAGAGAAACAACTGCAGGCAAATGATGTTTAAGATAAATAAATAAATAAATAAAAGTGAGCCCAGAAAAACAAACAAAAAAAAAAAAAAAAGCAAGATTTGGTAAGGAAGTTAACAAAAGAGAAAGGTAGATCCTAAAGAAAAAAATAAAAAATAAAATCAAGACCTCATTCTATGTGAACTAAGGAGAAGTTGACCCTGATTAGTAAGTATTTGTTAGCATATAGGAGGTCCACCTACCTAGGAGTATTTAGAATATATAAAATATGGGTTTACGAGCTTTTATTTTAAAGAAAAAAATTATTAGCATACCAATACAATTGAAAATATATAAACAGTGAAAAGAAAATACAAAATTTCATAGGCACTGCTGGTTATCAGTAGTAAAGAAACACATAATGTACTAATAGTGCAGTGATTTTCTTCCAGAGGAAATTTAAAAAAAAAAATTATTTCATTGTGCTAAGAACATTTAACATGAGAGTTCTCCTCTTTTTTTAAATAATAAATTTTATTTTTATATTCCCCATACAATTGCAACCCCCCCCATTCTGACCCCAATCCCTCCCCTCCGGCCCCCCACCCCCCACAAACTGTCTCTGGTTCATAGTTTTTTGTTGATTTTGATTTTCACTTTCTTATAGTTATTCATTTTCCTGGTCCCTTATTTAAGTTTTCTAGATTCCTGCTGAGTGAGACCATCCGGTATTTTTCTTTTTCTTTCTGGCTTATTTCTCCTCTTAACAAATTTTTTAACTTTATATTATTGGTAACTATAGGTACATCCGAAAGAATTTTTAGTAGATGAATGTGGGATAAGCAGGGGGTGAAAAGCGTCGGGCTTTTCCCTACCTCCCAGTGCACATGCGCACTCAGCCAAACAGCGTGGCGCCGGTGGTGTGGTGTGCGTGGCGTGCGTGGCGTGGCGTGTGTGCGTGCATGCGTGCGTGGCGTGGCATGGCGTCCCGCAGTGCAGTGTGCTGTGGTGCCAAGGACGGAGGAGTGGTGTGGAGTGGAGTGGTGTGGAGTGGCGTGGAGTGGCAGGGCGCTGCGGAGCACGACGACAACGACTGCAAGCGGAGAGCGTGAAGACACCACCAGGCCTGCTAGAACCGGTAATGGACCCACCTGGTGTGGGTTGGTTGCGCGGCAATGAAGTGCCACAAATATCCAGCAGTGACAACAGTATGGGGTAAAGAACTGTGTAGGGGCAGGATGGCCACTGGGCAGGTTATCCATGATCCGAGCAGACGGGTAAAAGAGGAGTCCTGGAGCTCTCAGTGGCTTTCTCAGGCTTTACCTGTAGTGTGGCAAACAAGTACACTGCAGGCCGGGGGGGCGGGGTAGTGGTGAGGGAGAGCAGGAGGTCAGCAGGCCTCCAAGCCCCAGGCAAGTCTTCATTCTGGGCTTTTCTGGCTTCTTTCTCCCCGCCTCTCTCCTGCTGCTGCTTCTCTTGCTGACTCTCTCAATACCCCTCCCAAGGACCATAGAAGTAAATAAGACAGCTTACAACAATGTAACAACTGCAGGTGCCCCATCAGGCAGGGCAATCCTAATGGTGCGAGGGCAGAAAAGCCTGCAAACCATTTACCCTACAAATTGTCTCATAAATCCTCGGTAGAAACATGATTTGGTCCAGCATTTTTATACCAACGTTTGTCAATATTTGTAGAAACTTGAGATATGCATTACTTGTGTCTGGTATATATAGTATTGCATTCACAGATATTTATCCAAGAGAAAAAGCATTCACAATAAAAGCAAATTTCAAACAAAGTTAAACATTATCCATGAACAACAAAAAGTCAAGTGGGCATTTTGTTAAACCTTTAAGCCAAATTTGGACTGAACAAAACTTGCAACAAGGGCTTAAAGACACAGCACTAACAAGCTATAGCCAACCACTGCAGCACCTGTTGGATTAGATCCCTATCTGCCGAGGAGCAACCCACATGGTGCAGCAGACCTCTCCTGTCTTGCTTGCTATTCCCTCAGCAGTATATTTCAGTAGATCCACCTGTTATGTTCCCCACTCTGTCTCTGGTGAATCCTTGCTCCTATACCTGTTCCCCATCTGTATGTTTTCTTTGGAAAATTGCCAATTTAGTTGTTTTATTGGGCTATTTTTTCTTCTTGTTGAGTGGTATGAGTTTTTCTAAGTCTTGGATATCAGTCCCCAGTCAGGATGTACAAATATTTTCTCCCATTAAGTAGAAGGTCTGTTGGTGGTGGTGATAGTTTCTTTCACTGTGCAGCAGCTGTTTGATTTGACGTTGCCCCATTTGTTTATATTTCCTTTTTGTTTCTCTTGCTATTGGAGATGAATCCATAAAGACATCACTGAAGTCCATGCTGTGAAGTGTCTACCTTTTTTTTTCCTTCTATGTGTTCTATGGTGTGCTTCAATTCCACTCGGGTAGAGCCAGAGCACCAAGGTTTGTATGGTAGGTTGCTGCATCTGCCATAGTCTCTAAGCATTGCTCCTTACATAAATTTTATTGCTTCAAGTTGAATTTTCTCAGTGTCCCTCAGGCAAAGTCAACACTGGGCCCGATGTGCAAGAGGTTCTCTAGTTTCACCCCAAATCAAACGACCCTCTGTGATCAGTTCTCCTGTGGACGACTTTCAGATTATCCTCCCTATAGCAAGGCGGGAGGGGCTTCACACTGACACCATCTTTTCTTATGTCCCTATGCAATGTATTTTTTTAACGTGACATTCTGAAAGGTCACAGAGAAGTTAACATGTTTCAAAATGAAATAATATTGATATGTTGGGTTTATTTTTGGTGGAGGGTTGAGTTCAGAAGCATGTCATTTTTTTTTTCTTTGAAAATTGTTGCAAATATTTTTAAAATGGCGACTTGATTATACTTTGTGCACATACAAGATGGTGTAAAAGTGACATCCTTTTCGAAAATTATCATGAGGCATGTAAATCATTGACTTGAATTTTAATGAAGAGGTAAAACTAAGATCTCCTTTCCAGGTCTCTGTCAAGAAAAATTGCAATGGCCTTTCTAATTAATTATCATTGATATAAAGTATTTTGAAGTTGAAAAAGAAAAGAGAATAGCTGTAATTAATGCAAGTAATAGATAATACATTCATTAACATTATCATTTTGTGAAACATACTTTTTTTATTTTTTTAAACACTAAAGAGCAGAGAGAACATCTTACATATTTGTTTAATGCATTTAATGAAATCTTAATCTTTAGATTCACTCAGATCTGAAGCAACTAGCTTATAAATTAAAATGAGAACAGTAAACTGATAATTGATTAGTTCAATGTTTGTGAAGGCTATTGTGTACTTCTCAGCCAGAGGGATGCCAGGAGAATTTGCCTTCCATGTGTTTGGGGGTCCTCAGAGGGAACTATTTAATTAAACCATGAATAGTAAACTGAGTATGATTATTTAATTAAACCATGAATAGTAAACTGATAATGACTAAATCTTAAGTATCTACAGAAAAATCAGCAAAGGGTGATAAGGAGATGTAGGTACTTATATTCATTATAAATATATTGACTGTGGGAATAACATAGTTCCTTTCAAGATGATGAACAAAAAATATGTTAAAATCATCTCACTTCTACCTATCTCATATTTATTAAAAATGTTTAATTCAGATTTATAAATAGGTGACCAAGGACACATATGTTAAAGTAGAAATACATGGGGGTGGGAGCAAAACGATACTGTTTGCTACAAAAGCAAGCTAAGGTTGGCTGGGGGGTGTGTGTGTGTCCCTGCAATTGTGCACTAAGGGCTAATACTACATGAGCAATTTTGAGGTCATAAAGTAGGGACATTAAACATCTCTGGCACCTCTCTATCTATGTATCTATCTATGTGTTTATCTACCTATCTACCTACCTGTATAGCATCTTTCTATCTTAAAGTATAGAGTCTTCAGGTGCAGAGTGGTATGGAAAGCAGGCATTACCATTTCTCTCTGCCTACTCACTCTGCGCAATAGAATCCAGTCTTCTTTCTCATGCATTTTTTACACTAGGCTCTTTGAAATTAAATAGATTTTTCATTTGGTTGTGATGAGCTGGACATCGAAGACAGAAGTAACTTCTATCATATAGGCAGTCTAGTCTGTCGTTTTTATACCACAGACTTGATACCCAAATTTTCTAAGCAAATTCAGTTTTGTCAGTGAAGTGAGCACTGGATAGTGAGTAATAAGCCTCCACTTTCAAGTGAAGTTAAAAGGAAAAAAAAAAAAAAAAACAACAAAACAGAGGTCAAGTGTTATCTCAATGTTGCATCTTAGTGCTGTCTCTCTGATTCTTCTGAAGATTGTTATCTCACAAAAAGATGTTGCTATCTTACCTATTTTGCACCTCCCTCCTTAAATTTGCATCACAGAAGTAGGAATATATTTCATTTGTTAAAATCCCTAATGTTACTCAGAATAACACTGTTGTCCAGTATGAGAGACTCAAAAATTTTTGTGCTTAATAGTCATCAATTTTACCACTTCTCTTTTTCATCCAAGTAATTGTAGTTGTAATTAGGTTGAAATATGTTCTTCTTTGCTTATTTTCCAAGATTTACAATTTTGTCAATAACTTCAGCCTTCAGTGTCTTCATTTTACATCTCTAACTATGTGAGCAAATTTACATGGCTTGTCCTACTGCTGAAGTCGGGTCAACTCAGTTTTGCATGGCACTAAATCAGCACACTTCCCTGTATCCCATCTTTTCTCTGCATTTATTAAATACTAGTATCTGGATCAGATGACATGGCATACAGCAGTGGTCTGTGAACTGCACACTGCTGCTTAAATGGAAATAATGGCTGTAGAACAAAGAAAAATGTGTTCCTTGAAAATCAGCCAAGTCAGACCCCTCTCAACAACTTACATCAGCGTATTCCTGTCCAGCAATAATCTAAAACATTAAATTATAAAATCACCATTTACTGACTTAAACAAACTTTTCAATATATGTTCCTTTGAGTTCATTTCTTAGCTTTGGTATCTTAAAACATGTAAAGATTAAGCTATAGCTCTTTCTCTCAAGAGTTTAATATTCTGAAAGGACATCATTATTTGTTTTATTTATTTTCAACTAGGGTAATATTGGAGTTACCCTCTCAGGGTACCCCCGCCACCAACTCACCCATAGTCCATCACCTTCGATCACTGTGCTGCCTTCTCTCTTTAGTCTCTCCCCTTCCCTCCCCTCTGCCCTTTGCTGTCTCAGTTCTGTAGTTAGAGATCCAGGGTTCGCTTTTCAGTTTGCCTTAATCTGACTGTTAATTTAGTTACTTTGTATTCCATATATCAGTGACGCTGTTGTCATTTTGGAGTCTGTGGGTTTGGAGTGCGGGGTCCTTGGGCTCACTCAGGGAAAGGTGTCACCAGAGCTCCTGTTTCAGGAACAAGCGGCGAGTTTTCCAGGCCAGTTTCTCCACAGGCAGCGACATTAGTTATAGTTAAAGGGCAGGTTTATTAGGAAAGGGATGAAACAGTTAAAGACACTTGCACAGGCACAAGCAGGCGAAGAGATGCCCATGAGGGACAGGTTTGCCAAGAGAGGCCTGCATAGTTGCAAGGGGCGGCATTGATGGGTCACTGGCAGGCAGGAAGGCTGCTGCCCTGCAGAGGGAGAGAGTTGGTGAAAAGAGGCACCTACACAGTCACAGGTGGGCAGTGGGAGTGCTGCCCCAGCCAGTGCAGACACTGCACTGATACTGATACAGTTTTCTTCTGCTTGGGAGGGGCCACTCCTTGTGAGTTGGCTGCTAATTTTGGATAACTATGTAGAATTTGAAAGGGACCAGAGATTCTACAATGGGCTCAATCGCCATATCTTTACCTTTGGGGTCTGTTGGGCTCAGTCTCTGTATCTTTAACCTTGGGCCTGTGTTCTACACAGCAGTCTGATACCTGCTTGGAATTTATGCTTTGTAATCTAGGCTTCTACGCCTCAGGATACTAGTGTTGTCTGTGCCCCAGGATACTATACTAGTCTCCACAACTATGTGGATGGTTATGCTACTCTCTTCTACCCCCACCTCCTTGTGTGAGCCAGGTTTCTGGTCTTGGGGCCCCTCCTTTTTCCTTTTTTTTTTTTTTTTCTATTCTTGTCCTCATCAACACCATCCAATATTTATCTTTCTCCTTCTGACTTATTTCATTTTGCACTATCCTTTCAAGCTCCATCTATAATTTCTTTAAATATTGTCATGATAACAACACAAAACTTGAAGTCATATAAATATTAGAGGACAGAGACTGCATTTCAGGGATGAGAAGACACAGAAAGAGTTTTAAGAAGGGTTCCTTAAGGAAGTAGCTATTTCCTAAATCTTAAAGAAGTGGTATAATTTATAGTTGATCCCAAGATATCTAGTTCTAACCCTGAGATTTAGTGGAGTTTAACAAAAAGCCAATATTGTTTTTTTCTTTCAGGAACTGTGCAAGACACTGGCTATGCACAATGTACAGACACATTGTGCCCCCAAGAGGAGAGACAGACTCTTCAAAAATGACTGCAACTCAGTAAGTAAAAATAAGAACGTGAATATGGTGCTGTGTGGACAGAGAGAAGACAATGGATGATTATTGCTTGAGGAAGAACTAAGGAGTTAAAGAGGCATTTAAGATGAGCCTTACAGGATGAGTTGTAGCTTTTTTGGTGGCACAGAGTGGGGAACTATTTCAAAGAGGAAAGAGACACTGTGGAGACAGATACAAAGGCATGAAATTATATAGTTTGAGAAAACATACATATTAATGTTGGAGAGAATAACCAACAGGATTCTTCTTAGATTCAAATTAATATCAAGATTTACAAGAGTATCACAAGCCCCATCTGGCTTCAGCTACTCAGGAGTTAGGCCATGAGCATAGCATTATCAGGAGTTAGGCCATGAGCATAGCATTCCAACCACTCAGTGTGTGCTCACAGAAGAACATATATCTTTTCATACAGTTAACTAGCAACTGTATTTTGCCAACCCCCTTAATCTCCACCAGATGAAAGCTCAGGTAATGGGAGAAAACTTCTAATTTGCAGGTGTGTGCCTAGTTTAGAAACATCATCCCCCAAATAAACCAGTGTCTTTTAACCACTCCAGAGGATATATTCCAGGGCCTCTGCATACAATAAGCCAGGAGCAAGCGTTCCCACTTTATGGAATTTCAAACCTGTGACTTCACATCAAATTTTTATTATTGATACACAAAAATCTTAATCCTGATGCAATTTAATAATCAAGTGTTGTTTTTCCATAAGTAATGCTGCTTAAAATCACACTTGACAATCTACTTTTATCAAATTCTCTGGGGTGAAGACAATGTTAACCAAAGGTCAAATTCTCATTCAGAATGTAAATGAGTTTAGTCACCCATGTAGGGCACAGCTTCTCAAATTTTAGTTTGCAAACAAAGAATCTCCTTGTTAAACAATCATATTCCAGGGCCTAAACTTGACTTTATACATGTAATGAGAAGATAAAGTGCTTGCATATGTGAATATTAACACACGTCTGGCATATTCTGAAGCATCACATGGTTTGAGAACCACTGGAAATGTGTCCCTGGAAAACAAGATGAGGTAAGAAGTGGTTGAAATAATTTATTCATTCATCTAATGTGCATTTATTTAGTTATTTTACTAGATAATAGAGACAGGATTGTGAGGTGGCCTATGTTCTTGCATGTAGAATTTACAGTTTTAACTTAAAATAATGGGGAATTTTGTCTGAGGGAGCAAAATGATAGAATTACTCATTTGTTGTTTTTTTTTTTTTTTTAAATGACTCCATTATATGGTCAATTTCATCCAGTAGAGGTGAGAATGTCCTAACACTATTTGAGCAAGTGTATGTTGAAATAACTAAGTGGGTGGAAAGAAGCAGGAAGTGATAAAGCTCCCCCCACCCCAAAGCATTATCTGAGGTTGAGAAGTAAAATGGATCACAAAGATTTTAATATGCTTTATGTCTCCAAATCTGTCTCCTACCACTATCCCCTTAGCAGTTTGCTTTCTAACCAAACAGGTCTGTCTTTCATTCAACAGTGTCATTGTTTGCAACCATCACAGGCTGGGTGGCTTCACCTTTGGTTTTGGTGGTTTGAAAGAGAATTTTGGAGCCCTTGGAATCATTTTCACAGGTTTTAGTGGTAAGCAGGGGAAATAGGCCAGCAGGGAGACAGTAACTTGAGTCTCCTGCTAGCCTCTCTATGCTCTTTTCTCTGGACTTTCTCTGACATTGTTTGGTGGTCCTTTCCTCTCATAGCTGTGCTGTCTCTGAGTAACACCATTATAGCCCTGACTGCTAGGCTCAGGTGTGCACACTCCAAGATAAATGATGTCATTTTTGGAGTCTGTGAGTTTGGAGTGCAGGATCTTCAGTTCACTCTGCAAAAGTTGTCACCAAAGCTCCCATTTCAGCAGCACGCGGTGAGTTTCCCAGGCGAGTTTCTCCACAAGACAGAGACATTAGTTACATTTAAAGAGCAGGTTTATTAGGGAAGGGATGCAGGAATAAAGGAAACTTGCATTGACATAAGTGGTCAGGAAGAGCTGCCTGAAAGGGACAGGTTTGCTGAGCGAGGCCTGTATGGCCCCAGGAGGTCAGCAGGTCAGCATTGAGGAGAGCTGCCTCCTCTGAGGGAGGTCAGTGAAGAGAAGCCCCAGCCTGGTGTGGGTCATGGCAGGCAGAAGGCTGCTGCCCTGCAGAGGGAGAGAGTTGGTGGAAAGAGGCACCTGCATAGTCACAGGTGGGCAGTGGGATTGCTGCCCTGAGCCTGTGCAGAGACTGCACCCATATAGTCTTCGGTTTGGGAGGGGCTCACTCCTTGGAGCCTTTCAGTTAGTTGCTGATTTTGGATAACTGTGTAGAATCTGAACAGGACCAGAGATTCCACAATGGTTTCAATCTCCTTATCTTTACCTTTAGGGTCTGTTGGGCTCAATCTCTGTATCTTTACCTTTTGGCCTGTGCTCTAGACACTCCCTCCAGCAGTCTGATACCTGCTTGCATCTAATGCTTTGTAATCTGGACATTGCAGCCTAAGGATCTTGGTTTCCATACCTGTATCAATGGCTGTGTTAATCTCTTCTACTCCCCCCTCCTTGTGTGAGCCAGGTTTCTGGTCTTGTGGCACCTCCTTTTCAGTTTTTTTCTCTTCTTGTCCTCCATCAATGAGTACACACCCTTGTCCAGGTGGCCATAGTCAGGCACACATGCCCCATACCCACACACCTTCTGTGTTAACAAGATCAAGGCCCCAGGTGATAGCCACAGAGACTAGTGGTGTAAAAGCCTGATCGACTTCATTAGCCTTACAGCCATATTCCCTAAGTTATAAAGTCTTTGCACAAGCTTAGTCTTCTTTCTCTGGTAGCTTCACCATCATTGTGCATTATATATTATATATCCTTGACTCAGGGTATCCCTCCCTGACTACAGCTGGAGAAGTTCTCCTTATCAGATGTCCTTTTGGTAACTTCTAACTTTAGTTCATGGATCTCATGACAATGTTCCTTTACTTTAAGAATTCATTTACTTACAGTTTTCTCTAGATTGTAAGCTTGATGCAGGTGGGAAATGCACCCAGTTTTATGCCCATCCTTAGCACATAGTGACTACTTAGAGAATTATTTTGAATTTATTAATCAAAGGGTAAATGGATTTTTAATATCTCATAAATAATATGGAAGAACATTTTGGTAATGGTTGAGAAATGTAATTTGAGTCTGTGCATTAATTATCCTCAAGATAATATTTGAAAATGTTCAATTAATAGTGAAAAGAGGATGAGAGTAGATAAAAAGCTTTGAAAATGTTTATATTAAACTGAAAACTGTCTAATATGACCATGACCTTTGAGATTTTATATATCTAAAATGCAAAAAAATGAGTCACAAATAAGACTTACTACGTTTTAATGCTTTTTAAATTTTTTTAAAGATTTATTTATGTATGCATAAAAGAACTGGGGTACAGGCTAGAGGTGTGTGTCGGGGGGGGAGGTGGTGAGCGGATTCACCAGAGACAGAGTAGGGAACCAAACAGGCAGACTGACTGAAATACACTGCTGAGGGGAGCAGCGGGTGAAACAGGAGAGGTGTTCTGTGCCATGTGGGTAGCTCCTTGGCCGACCACAGATCAAACTTGTGCTGCAGAGGCTGTGGATAGCTTCACAGTGCTGTGCTTGACCTCTTGCACCACCAGGGAGGCCCAAGACTTACTATGTTTTTATAGTAGTGTTTTTTTTTTTTTTAAAGATTTATTTATTTATACAAGCATTGGGTACAGTCAGAAGCACGGGAGGGTGAGAGGATTCACCAGAGTCAGAGCAGGGAGCAGAACAGGCAGACTGATTGTAGGGGCAGGACTGGCACAGTGCAGGTTTTCTGATCCCATGCAGACCGGGTAAAGGAGGAGTCAGAGTCCTCAGTAGTTTTGCAGGTTTTTTATTGGGGTTCACCAGGTATATGGCAGGCAGGGGTGCTGGGTGGGGGGCTGGGAGGCTGGCAGGCCTCCCAGCCCCCAGCAAGTCTTCACTCTATCTGAGCTCTCTGGAGTTCGTTCTGCTGCTTCTCGGCTTCTCTTTCGGCTTCTGCTTCGGCTTCTACGGCTTCTACTGCTGCTGCTGCTGCTGCTGCTGGCATCCCCGTGACGCCGCCCTTAAAAGCACAGTCTTAACTCAGCTGAATCCCATCCACCCATGCCCACACCCTATTCCAGGTGCCCGCCATCAGGCATGCATTCAGGACAAGGATCCATCATCTATCCTGATGGTGGAAGGGCAGAAAAGCCTGATATTTTCTTTACCCTACACTGATGAAGTACACTGCTGAGGGGAACAGCGGGCACGGCAGGGGAGGTCTGTGTACCATGTGGGACCCTCCCTGGCAGCCAGGGATCGAACCAGCACGATAGAGGCTGCGGGCCGCTTCGCAGCCCAGCACTCAACCACTGTGCCTCCTTACTATGTTTTGAAGGAGAAATTCCTCTGGAAAATTATTTATGAATAAAGTGGGAATTACCCATTGGCCTTAATATCTTGGTGGAATGTTGACACTAGAAACTCTCTCATTTCTGGGCCTCCCTGGTGGCACAAGGGGTTAAGACACAGCTTATGAAGCTGTCTGCAGCCACTGCAGCATGAGTTCTATCCCCAGCCTGGGAGCTATACACATGGCACAGTAGACCCCCCTGGCTCTCCTGCTGCTCCCTTCAGCAGTGTATTTCAATCGATCCACCTGTCCTGTGCCCCACTTTGTCTCTGCTGACTCCTCTCCACCCCCCCACCCCCTTGCCTCTGGCCTATATCCCAGTTCTTGTATGTGTAAATAAATCTTAAAAAAAAAAGAAAAGAAACTCTCATTTAATACTAAAGACAGGATGGAAGAATAGGACGTAGCAGCCACTTACTACTTTTTTGCTGAAAAGCACTGCTTTCATAAACTCCCAGTCTTCACAAAAGAATAGCTGTGATCCCATCATCATCTTTTTGCAAATGAGGAAGAAAATGGACTTCAGAAAGTTAACTAATTTGCCCAATGTAGCATAGTAAAGCAAGTGAAAATAGTAGGTCCTTGAAGCAGTGTTTGCTAACTTTAACTTCTATATGTTTCCAATATATTAATTTTTAATACTACTTTCACATTTCCTGACCTTTCAAGATGCCCTTCACCTATAAGCTCAGGTGGTACTGTATTTTCCTTTTAATGCTCCTCCAAGATCAGAGTGGTTAAGCCTGAAAGGGTTTTCTCCTTCTTATAAATGGAAACATCCCCTAGGCTATAGTCTTTGCTTGGTGTTTTCTCAAAACAAATACACACCTGTCAGAGATCCTGCCCTCACTCAGATGAATCAGTGTCATTTCTTTGAGGGAAGGTGGAGTAATTTCGGTGCCTTTTTCTCATCACCTACTCTCTGCTCCAATTATTTCTAATTTGGAGGCCTCTCTTCCCATTCATTCCTCTCAGTTCAATCTTCTCTCCTTTGTGCAGGGTAAAGGATCATGGTTCCCATACTCATGTCAGGATGCCAAATTACAAGTTGGTAATTAAGGGAGCTCATTCACAAACAGGCATAATCATTCAATTATGTGAAAATCGGAACAATGATCGCTCTCCGTGATGCTAGCATCCTAAACCACATCAAAGAGGCCAGTATTTATTTCAGATCATTTTACCTTGACAACCGATCAATTTGAGCATCTTCCTATTCTGTGGGACAAACAAAGAGAATCTTTGTCTGCATTTCATGGCCATTTATCATTCCACTGACTTTCAGATTGCAAGGCTGAGATCAAAGGAAAGGGAGAAAAACAGTATTCTGTAGCCGAACTCAGAAAGATAATCATAACTCTGTTTTCTAATTGTTAACCGTCATGTCTACCTACTTCATATTGTGGATTAAACAAACACTGGGGCCACTAAGATAACTAAATCTCTTATATATTGTACAACAGATTCTATTAATGTCTTTGATTTTATTTTATTTTTTTTTTAAATCTTTTTTTTTTTAAGATTTATTATTTTTATTTATTTATACAAGCACTGGGTACAGTGAGAAGCGCAGGAGGGTGAGAGAATTCACCAGAGCCAGAGCGGGGAGCAGAGCAGGCAGAAGGACCGAAGTACACTGCTGAGGGGAGCAGCGGGCGGCAGGAGAG